ATTTGTTTATGAAAAGAATGTGGAATGTAAAAAATTAAATTAATTCTGATTTTGATTGAAATAAGTCTTCAGAGAGGAGTTCTTATTTGTTCTAAATCTTTAAAATAAAATTAAGTATGTCTACATGAGACTATGCTCTATATGTGAAGTACTCTTGGAGGCCAGATGAGGGTGTGGGAACCCTGGAGCTGGAGTTACAGGCAGTTATGAGCTGGGAGATGAACTCAGGTCAGGTCCTCTGGAAGAGGACTGGCCTCAACTCAGACTGGCCCAGGCTGGCCTCAAACTCAAAGTCCTCCTAGCTCTGCCTCTTACATGCAGAGATTACAGTTATGCACCAATACACCCAGCTCTAAAATGTTCTTTAAGATCTGGAACAGGGTGGGGAGATGGCTCAGCAGTTAACAGCATTTGCTGCTCTTCCGGAGGACCTGACCTCGTGGAATTTAGAATTGAGATGGTAAGACCGTAGAAAATGTAGCTAGGCAGTGGTGCCCCACACCTTTAACTCCAGCTCTTGCGAGGCAGAGGCAGTCAGATCAAGAGTTCAAGGCCAGCCTGCTTTATAGAACAAGTTCCAGGACAGCCAGGGCTACACAGAGAAACTCTGTCTCGAAAAACAAAACAAACAAACAAACAAAAAAGAATATAGAAATATAATATAATATAATTTTGTCTTTTTCTAAGACTGATTTTTACTTTAAATTATGTGTGTGTGTGTGTGTGTGTGTGTGTGTGTGTGTGTGTGTGTGTGTGTAGGTATGTAACTATGAGTGCAGATGATGTGTATCTGTGTGTGCTTGTGTGTGTTTTTAGGTATGTGACTCTGAGTGCAAATGATGTGTGTGTGTGTGTGTGTGTGTGTGTGTGTATGCACGCACGCGCGCATAGGGATGTGAATGTGAGTGCAGATAATGCCTGTATGTGTGTGTGTTTAGGTATATGATGTGAGTGCAGATAATGTATATATGTGTGTTTAGGTATGTGACAATGAGTGCAGATGATGTATATATGTGTGTGTTTGTGTGTGTGTGTGTGTGTGTGTAGGTATATGACAATGAGTGCAGATGATGTGTATATGTGTGTGTAGGTATGTGAATGTGAGTGTAGATAATGTGTATATGTGTGTGTGTGTGTAGGTATGTAAATGTGAGTCCACATTCTGCAGAGGTCATTGGGTCTACCCAACATGGGAGCTGAGAACTGAACTTCAGTCCTTTAAGAGAGTGACCAGTGCTCTTAACCACTGAGCCAACTCTCCAGCATGAAAATGCAGGGATTTTAGAACAGAAATACCTGTTTCTGGAAAAATACACAGTTCATGAATTTATTTTATTTATTGTATTTTGAGATAGGGTCTCACTGTGTATCAATGGCTGGCCTAGAACTCACTATGTAGACCAAGGTGGCCTTGAACTTACAGAGATCGACCTGCCTCTGCCTTCTGAGTACCAAGATTAAACATGTGAGCCACTACATCCAACAGCCCAAGAAATTTTATTTTAACAGAAATCTGTCCTATACTGAAGAGTGCAATATGGAAAACTTATAGAGGACATAATGATTGGAGGAACATGTGAACCTAAGGTTAAAGAGGAATAAACACAAATTCCACACTGATAGGAGAAAACAATTACATGGAGGCTAATTTACAAGAAACATGGAACATAAGGACGCTGTGGAGAAGAGTGTGTTAGGAGAGAACTCATTTATAAGTGTAAGCAGGTTTGTAAGTTTATCTTAAAGGATGGGAAGACATTTAGGTGGCCTGTGTTAGAGTAGATGATTGTAACACAACCAAATGTGCATTTGAATGGACCCCTTAGAGGCCAGGCAGTGGTGCACACCTTTAATCCCAGCACTCAGGAGGCAGAGGCAGGTGGATCTCTGAGTTTGAGGACAGCCTGGTCTACATAGCGAGTTCCAGGACAGCCAAGGCTACACAAAGAGATTCTATCTCAAAAAACAAAACAAACAAACAAACAAAAAAGAAAGAGAGAGAGGGAAGGCGGGAGGGAGGGAAGAAGAAGAAGAAGAAGAAGAAGAAGAAGAAGAAGAAGAAGAAGAAGAAGAAGAAGAAGAAGAAGAAGAAGAAGAA